CCATCCTCGTCGTGCTGCCATTCTTCGTAGCGCCATGATTGCGGAGTCGGTGGTGAGTGATGCCACCAGCTCCAGGTGCACGGCGCGTATCGTTAGACAGGTGAATAACGCCACCCATCTTTTCTCTCTTCGTCTTCCAATTTTGATGGTGACTGGCCCGAAGTAATCAATCCCACAATGACTAAAGGGACGTCTGAAGGGCTGTAAACGTTCTGCGGGCAGATCCCCCGTCGGCGGGCTCCTTGGCTTCGATCTTCGTAGTCGACACATAAGGCAGCCTGCTGCGACTCTCTTAACTGTTGGTCGCAGCCGCAGGATCCAGTACTGCTGCCTGACGTCGTTGACCACTCGCTCGTTGTTGCAGTGTCCTGCTCGTCTGTGCTCTCGATCAATAATTTTCTTCGCGAGTTCGTGGCGTCCGTCCAATAATACCGGCTTCTTCGCTGTTTCCGGTACGTCCGCCTTGTTAATGCGTCCGTTTAGCTTCACAAGCCCGTCTTCCCAGGTGAGGTCGTAACGGTGTAGAGGGCTCGTTCGTGCTACGGGGACTCCTTTCTTCAGGCACTCGATTTCTTGGCTGAAGGAGTCTTGTTGCGCCTGCTGCAGCCATAAATTTGTCGCTCGGTTGAAATGTTCGCGGCTGAGTGTCTTCGTTCTGTCACGACATCTTTCCACGAAGAGTAGCGCTTGCGCTGTTGCGCCGATCAGTCGCTCGAACGTCGAGAATCGTTCTATCTCCGGTAGCGCCGCGTTTCTCTCTGTTGTGTGCGCGATGACGTGTGTTATTTCCGTCGTTTCGTCATCTTCTCGATCCGTTGGTGGCTTCGGCCATTCCGATCTTGGTAATTTCAAGAAGGATGGTCCCGTGAACCACAGGTCGTTTTCGTTGGCTGGCGTATAACCGGCGCGTGTGGCGACGTCGGCTACGTTCAGATGCGTCGGTATCCATCGCCAGTCTTGCGGTCTGGATGACTCAGTTATTTCTCCCAGACGGTGTGCGACGAATGGAGTGTAGCGCTTGCTTCCATTCCGCAGCCAATGAAGCACCGTCTGAGAGTCGCTCCAGTACACGGTGTCGTCGACGTTGACACGGTGTTCCTCTCTGATTGCTTTCGCTAGTCGCGTTCCGATGAGGGCCGCTTGAAGTTCCAGGCGCGGTACGGTTTGGGTCTTCAAGGGCGCGACCTTAGCTCTTGCCGCTATCAGAACTGTCTCGATAACATGGCCGGGTCCGTAGTGCAACCTCCAATACGCCGCCGTTGCGTAGGCTTCTTCGCTGGCGTCGCAGAATACATGAAGCTCACGGCGACGCACTTCTCTCCCCCCGTTGTAACTACGGGGTAGCCGTAGTTGGTCGATTGCTGGCAGGCTTGTCAACCATGCATCGAAGTCCTCGCTCAAGTCGGATGGTAGAGGGTCGTCCCAGCCGGTCTTGAGGCGCCATAGTTTTTGAAGAGTTATCTTCGCTGTGATTGTGAAGCAGCTGAGCAGTCCGAGCGGATCGTATATGCTCATCACCGTCGATAATGCTTCTCTTTTCGTCGGCGGGCGTTGTCGAGACTTCACTGGCAGTGGGACTCTAGGCAGGGCGGTGTTGAAGCCCAGCCGATCGGTATTTGCATCCCAAAGCAGGCCCAATGTCTTCTCTGTGTCTCCAAACGTCGTCGTCCCGCTTTTGGCTCTACTATCCGGGTTCACGGCTTGTAGTAGCTTCCTATTGTTACTGTTCCATCCCCTCAGGTGGAATCCAGCCTTCTGGTGCACTGCGTCGACTTGGGTGATGACTTCGTGGGCCTCTCTCGGATCATTGAAGCTGTCGACGAAGTCATCCATGTAGTGCGCTTCGGTGATTGCGCGCAGTGCTGCAGGGTGCGTCTCAGCATGCTGTCTCGCGTTGTGGTCCCTCACGCTGTGTGCGAGGAACGGTGAGCTCGATGCGCCGAAGATCATCGATGTCATCTTCAGCTTGCGCGGTGGTTCATTCTGCCTGCAGTCGCGCCACAGGAACATCTGTGCGGGTTGGTCCTCGCGGCGTATCTTGATCCGCAGGAACATTTCCTCGATGTCAGCTGTCACCGCGTATGCGCCCTCTCGGAACCGGAATAAAATGGTCTGCAGCGATCGTAGCAGATCCGGCCCTTCGAGTAGGTGATCGTTCAGGCTGACACCTCGAATTCTTGCTGCTGCGTCGGAAACCAGTCGCAGCTTCCCGGGCTTATTGGGATTCTTGACAGCGAAATGCGGCAGGTACCATGCGACGGGGCTTGCGTCCTCGGAGCCGTCGCAGGGTTCGGCGTATCCCTTTTTCACGAGGTTGTCGATCCTCCGCTGGTATTCTTCCATGTCGCGTGGATCTTTCTTCAGCTTGTTCTCCAGATTTGTGAGCCGGCGGAGTGCTGAGTCGTAACTCCGTGGCAGTTTGGCGTCGTCGTTTCGCCAAGGCAGGCCCACTTCGTATCTGCCGTCCTTGTGCTTCACGGTGCGTTCGAACGTAAAGACGGCACGCTTGTCCTCTTCGCGGACGTGTGATGCGTCGAGCGACACTCCGAGTGAGTCGATCCGGAAGTGCCTCGACACGAGTTCCTCGAGTCGGTCGTCTGATGCTTCAGTCGTGACGACATGTAGGATATCCTCGGTGCGGCGAAGCGATCTCGATGGCGCCGTCCCGTGGATCCGAGTTCGGTTTTGGAGGCAGCTGGTTCCTTGGTTTTTCCTGACCGTAGCTCACGGGTCACTATGAGCTCCCAGTTGTCCGTCCCGATCAAAATGCGAGGCTTCGCATTCTTGTATACGACTTCTCGCTCGTCGAGATCTCTTAGGTGTCGTAGCTTCATCGCCTCCGCCGGTATCGATTGCGACGTGAGGTCCAGGCCCACCATGGTGCGAGCGTTGATTTTGAAGATCTGGTCACTGCGCGCTCCTTTTATTCCAATCTTCACTCGACGGCTCTGCACGTGACTTTGCTTCTTGTTTATTCCTCGGACGTTGAGCTGTGCGGTCGGTCCGTCGGCGCCGATCTGTCGCGCCAGGTCGTCGTCTAATAAGGTGACCGTCGAGCCTTCGTCGAAGAGCGCGTAGGTGTCGCAGCTCCCACGTTTGCCCGTGATTGTTACGGGGCAAATCTTCAATTTGACGGCGCGGCTTGTCGTCGTGGCAGCCGTCGTCGTTTCGGTGGTGGCTGGTTCCATCGCATCCGTGTTTGAGTCGGTCGCGCTCGTAGCCACGTCGTTCGTCGTTCCACGCTCATCTGCGTGCAACAGTCTGTGATGCGGTCGCTTGCATCCGTTGATTCCGCAGAGTTTCTGTCGGCAGTTCAATCGGCGGTGTCGGCCCACGATGCATTTGAAGCAAAGGCCCTCCTTCTTCACCAGCTCCCATCGGTCATCATACGTTAGCTGCTTGACCTTTGGGCAGCAAGGTAGTGTGTGGGCTTCCTGGCATGAAAGGCATCTGCGCTGCGGTGCTTCTTCGGTGGCGACGTACACCGTCTTCTTCTTAGCCTCCGGTCTGGGGACGGGGCGAGGCGTTTCACGTGTTCGTTGCGATGTGGAGGGTGCGGTGAGGTTCGATACATAGTTGTATCGCATGCAGCGGTCAGCTTCCTTCATCAGGAACGATGAAAGTTTGAGTAGATCGGCGTTCGGGCCCGGCTGTGACTCGGCGAAGTTGCACCAACTCGATACAAGGTAGCTCGGCATCTTGTCCAAGACTTCCCGGGTCAGCAGTGGGTTAAGTAGGTACTCTGGCTGCACGTTCCTCAGGACGGCCACGACGTTCTGTAGCTTCACCGCAAACATGTTAAGATCGTTCGCGGTAGGTCCAATCTTCGGCAGCTTCCGTAGATCGGCGAAAGCCATGTCCACTAGTCTTTCTGGCCTTCCGTAGCATTGCTCCAGTGAAGACACGACGTTGGTTTTCTTCGTCTTGGCTTCTTGTAAGCACCATCTTGATTCACTGTTGGCTGGATCTCGGAGGTTCTATACGTGTTTAGATCCGGCTCGAAGGACCAAACTGTTGAGGGTGGTGATCCGGCTCGAAGGACCAAATTGTTGAGTATGCTGATTCGGCTCGAAGGACCAAACTGTAGACGATGCTGTATAACTCGATGGATCAGACTGTAGAGGATGGTGCAAAACAAAGACGGATTTCTTCTATAGACGATTTATTGTATTTTCTTCTTACTGGCTACTTATTACTGCTTGACTATACTGCTTGACTGACTTGACTTGACTACGAATATTTACAAATTTGGCCCTACCCTTATTCTAAACTTAACATCTAACTTAGATACTAGTGACGCGCGGCGGCCGACCAATCACAGCGCGTTTTACGCCCGCGCGCCGGGTGGGGGAATCGCCCCCACCGTGCGGACGGCGCCTACGCAGCCAATGGGCGCCCCGATAATTCCGCTAATGTAGGCGCTGTGATTGGTCGTTCGATCTGTACATTTTTCGGCACGTGGCTGTCTTCAACAGGTGTTCTTGCCGGTTCTTCTCAGTACAATGTTTACGAACCGATGGCATAGTTTCGATTTCGCTTTTCACAAATGATTGTAACAGCCCAGACTCAATAAATGATTTTGATCTGAATTCTCAACCGATTAAGCTGATTTTGCATACGCGTTTAAGTGACAATACAATGTTAGGTAGGTATCTAAAAAAGGCGATTGCAAATAGACTCATTATATATTTTTAAAATAATAAACGCTCATATTGATTCTAATGTGCTGCTGACAAATGATCTTAGGTATCCCAATTAAAACATTCCACGAACCTTTACCGGCTCTAATTAATTTAAAGAAAATACATTAATAGGACTCTCCTGTGATAATTCAAAGTTAATTATTTTTCATCCTTGAATCGGCAGTTATAAGAACCAATTACCATCCCACTTAAATCTATTGTTACCTAAAAATTAATTCAGATTTATTGGACTTCTGTAACTTGGGGAATACCCACCTAATTATCACAGCAAAAATGTTATTATTGTATCACATTTAAATGGTATATAATTAATAAAACTTTCGAATTTTTTTAATATTATTCTTGTATAGGCTAGATTGTGTAAGACTGTTTCCTTAAATAAATAAAATAAAAAAGATATAAAATAAGTTATATCATTCTAAATCTAATATAGCGGACGGCCCCAGATGGATGTGTTTTTGGTGCACTATCATTTTTAGGGTTTCGTGGCCAAAGACTAAAAACTGGCCCATATTACTGATAAACTGCTGCCCTTCTGTTTGTATCAGACTATCTCATTAATTGAGATAGCTAGACAGTTATTCACAAAATGATGTATTACAACAAATACTAAATAAAAACAAGATTAAAATAAATACTCAATCAAACCGATTTTTACGTTTTTATAGATATTAGTACGAAACCCTACGCGCGCGAGTCCCACTCGCACTATACTGGTTTTTGTTTATATTGTTTTGTTTTTTTATAAGAATATAACGTTTCAATTATAGGTTAGTAGTATCTACAGAATAAAATAAGTATACTTTAAAATATTATTATTCTTTTACAGTGTTAATAAACAAGGTTGTTAATAACTTTTTTAGTATTAATAAACAAGGTTTAGCGTTGGAGTAAATTTACGCTGAGATTGCACTTTGTATTAGTCAAAATTAATATTAATAAACAGAGACTTCACAAAAAGTAACCTAGTATGAAATTGTACGGAAATAATATTTACTCTTAGAAGGTAATAGGTTTGCTTATTCTCTGTTTAATATTAATTTGGACTAATACTAAAATTGATATCTAAGCGTAAATTTACTCTGACGCTAATTACGTTCATAACTTTAAAATAATACATACTAGGTTTTCGCCAGCGGCTTCGCCCGCAAGCACTTATTTTATACATTTTTCCTCTTAAATCACTGTATATTAAAGAAAACCGCCTTGAAATCCGATGTCTACTTTTAACGTTATCAGCGTACTGACAGCGCGGGAAGCGACTTTGTTTTATATAGATATACTAGTAGTATAATGTCTGTCACCGAACTAATAAGACCACTATACTTTTCTTTAAATTATTAATTTTATTACAAGCAATTCTCTGCTTCAGCATATTCTGAGAATAAAAAAACACTTCGTTGATATTTTTCTTACAAATATTTACGCAGTAGATGGATCGACGCGACTCTCTGGTTGCTAGGCAACGGGCGTGGGAGTTTTGAGGGGGCAGCCAGTATCGTACACAAATTAAGAAATATCTGATATTTATCGGGTTACTGAAAGCTCGACGCCTCCTGAGGTCTTAAGTAGCTATTCTGAATAAGATTTTTAGTTCGCCCCGGCATGTTGCTAACGCCTGATATATTCGCATCGGCAATGTTTAGCATTGTAAATAACTTTTCTTTCGGTCTTTCTTGACAACGACATATAACTAAGATTTCTCTGCGGTAAAATGTAGCCTATATCACATTTCATCCTGCCAAAAATCATTATACAAAACAACGTTCTGTTACGACATGAAAGTAAGACAAGCGAACAAACACACAGTTATATTAGTGTTTCATTTGATATAGGTACCTAACTATTTAAAAGTAGGTAAACAACAAAACGATAGCGTGATTTAGGTATAATACCTATGCTATGGATTCTATGGATTGACCGTATACCTAACACATTTAATGTTAATCTTGAAACAAAGCTAAACTAAATTATTTAACTAAATAAAGAATTTTCCATTTTTTTAGCTTTTGCCCGCGACTTCGTCCGTGTGGTATAGTTACTTTGGGCAGCATATATTTGCAAAAACGCTGTTGATGATGAAATTACCTTCATGTTTAGGTTCCAAGATACTACAATAAATATCCAATATGTTTCAGCGCTTTATCTTTGAAAACTTTAGAGACATTAATCTAATCCTATCCAATTTGAAATATAGATGAAAAAAACAGTTCTGAAGTTTATACAAAACTTAATCAAAAACGTTATCTACGCAAAATTCTTTGCTAGAAACGTTAGCGCAGATTACTCTAGCATAAACGCCATCTAGTATAGCAAAACTTAAATTTCTTACTAAATTTTATTTTAAAACTCACTACTCTAATATCAATACTTTAAGATTTAAAAAGAAATGGAGAAATTTGTCGTTGTAGTTAAGCAACTTTCGCAAAGGTCAGTCACGGGCTGGGTGACCAAAATGAGTATCTCAAGCTACTCTGTGCTTCGGAAGGCACATAAAGCCCGGAAGCATTTGCAGTCGTTAATTCCCTCTAATCTGCATTGGGCCAGCGTGAAAGGTAATGGACCATCCTCCTTACCACCTTCTATAACGAAGGGATTGAGCCCATGCAGTAGGGAGTTGAAAGGGTTGATGATGAAATAATATTTCTATTTACAGTGCAACATATATTTTTTTCAATAAACGACTTATTACATTGCATATATATGTCGTGGCTATATCTTAGAATTGACGATTTTATGAGGCGGCCAGCCATTTCGTGAAATATTTGTATTTCATGAAACGGAAAAATCTTGCTGCCCACATCATGATGCCTGGCCAGATCAATGAATGATTTGCGTTTAACGATATGAGCGGCTGGTAGTATGACTTCGTTATGATGTGGCCAAGAGTAAGTGATCATATCGTAAAATAGTTACGTAAGTCTCAGTAAGAGGCGCAAATTTTTGTGATACATTTATTTAAATTTTTAAGTTATACTTGGAAACTATACTTCGGTCCTTACATAATCCTTATTACTTAGGTTAAGACCTATCAATCCTCAATAAATTAATTTCTGATGAAATAAGCGCTACGATAGAAAATTTAAAGCCTGCACAAAGTTCTTTGATCAAAATATGTAATATCACGAATTAGAATACACTCGCCATCAGCTGGCCGAAAAGATAAGTTTTCTAGGCAAAAATATCTGCGATTTAGAATTCGTTTAACACCATCTAGTGTAGTTCATATATATACATATAAAATATAAAAATAATTTTTATTTTGTAAACAAAATTTCTGAATTGGAAGATTTTTATCAATTAAAAGTTCAAAAATGTTATATTTACTCAAATACCAGTTTTCATCGCTATACAATAAAATATTTCGTAACTAATATCAGGTAATTTTATTACAATGACAAATCAGATTGTAAACAATGATTGCTATGGTAACATTTTTATTCCCCCATAAAATCTTTTACTCCTATTGTTATTCCTTTAAGTGCTAGTTTTCGGGAAAATATAACCTATTGCCTTCCTAGGGTCATAAACTACCCAAATACCAATTTTCATCGACATAGGTCCATAAATAAAGAAGTCTCATACAAACTTTTTCACCCTTTTTGACTCCCTTCGGGATAGAATTTCCAAAAATCCGTTCTTAGTACATCTCTACGTTGTGTTGTGAATGTTCCCTCCAAAATTCAAGTCTCTACGACCAGCGGTTTAGGCTGTGCGTTGTCTGTCAGTCAGTAAGTCAGGACATCTCCTTTTATATATGTATAGATGACTAATACTTGATCATTTTTCAAAACTGAAATTGAAATCTGTAAATTTTTATTTTGAACTACCTACTAAAATATCAATTCTCATTGCTATAAGTTAAAAAAAAAAAACATGCAAACGTTTTCCCCCTTTAACCCTTTTCGGGTGAATTTCCACGTAATAAGGCAATGTACATTTTCTCCTTTTAAACACCAACGGTTTAGACCGTGCTTTTGTTTTAGTGTGTGCCTGATGTAATCATTTTCATATTTCCAAGTTAGCGAATGTTTGCAATTAAGTCAGAATAAAATAATTTTCTTGTATGATAAAATATGCATTTAATCTATATTACAGTGAATCTAAATCCACCTGCAATTTTTATGTAGATTATTAAAATCTTTAATTATATAATATATAACCCAGACCCATTTAAGGCAAGAGTAAATGAGTTCCTTCTGGGCATGCTCGTTCCACCATAGATCTTATTTATTTCCTTCTGATTATTTGATTTGCCGCCGAGGGTTTCACATATTCACAGGGCTCTAAGTAACAAACGTATAGCCACTGGAAGGAAAGTAATTTCCGTAATTTGTTGCAGAATTGAGCTGACATCAATGTCCATCAAGTGTATTTTTTCAATCAGCTAGTTCGGCAAGTCACCAACACTTGCAGAAATCCATTTACGTGAGCAATTTGCCAGAGAACACTTGGCTAATGGAAATACTAATAAGATTCTTAGAAACTCTGGCTGTTAGAAACTGCGACTTGTTTCTTTTAACCACTTGCTCATTTCTAAAAGATGTCTTATATTTGTTCCAGGACATTGACTATGAGGGCTTCAGGTGGTTTCTGGATACCTTCCTGGAGGTATCTACTCCTGATGAACTCACAAGGTAAGTTAGCGACTATAATAAGGATGGAAAATAGCCTCAAATAACATTAACAACGTCACACACAAATTAAATTGGTTACTTCATTTCCAGGCAATGAGCTATAAACTCTCGTGAATCTTCTTGAATTATACATTGAATTCGAACGCAATTTACTAATACCTAAAGTCACAGCATCAAATTAAACGTATATTTTGCTGTAACAAAATCACCTTATTGCTATATGTCGTGTATGTTGATGAAGAAACGAAAGCAGGACGCGAGTCTCCATCTCTTTATTGGTAACGCGGACGTGGCGGATAATACGGACACTTAATGCGATTATATATTTACGTAATGTTTTCAGACATCTGTTCCTTTCTTTCGTTCGGCGAGATCGGCGGCCGGCGCTCCGTGAGATGGCGGCAGCAAGTTCAGCTGCCGCATGCGCAGCAGTCACTGCCCATGGAGATCATCAGGTACGTAACTTCCAGGGATTCCAAAGGTCAATTATGTCAACCTCATATTATTAACACTAACTAACAGTATGACTAGTATTTTTTTCTAATATAAACATATAGAGATATCACACACAGTAGAAAGATAATAGGACTTGTAATTTTCCGTTTATACTTAGGGCAAGTTGAGTCTAGCATCCAAGATTCACGGGTTAGCTGAGCGACTACAACAGCTTGGGAAGAGCTCTGGAGACTCAGTCGACGGCAGTGACAAGGGTTCTAGGAGTAGAACTGGTGAGAATATTCATATTTGTTGATTGCTTTATTGTAAAACCTAATAGATTTTTATTCTTTCACCTCAGTAGCCGATTGGATCCCACGTCAGTGTCCAGGTGTTGCCATCTCTGGGGTCCCAGATTTTTATTTTATGTAGAAAAATAATTTGTATGTCTTCGTTATTCAGACATTCCATAATAAAGCCAATTGCTATAGCGACTCATCTAAAACTCTGAGCAAAATTTGTGATGTTTTCTAATATTTAATTTATTCATTCATTATTATTGTTGTTAGGCAGCGTCCACCCCATGTTCAGTGTGACTACTCATCCTTCTTACTCCTCACACGAGCTCTGCCTGGAGCGCCGCCATGACACCAGCCCCAGTCACAGTCAGGTCTCGCGCAACTCCAGCAGGAAGAGTACCAACTCTTTACGCGTAAATCAGATTACCAAAATCGAAGGTGAAGTTAATAATACTTATCATTTTATAATAACTTTCCGCACGCGTAAATTATAGCCAATGTCACCCGCGTATGATGTGGCCTGTAGGGGAAACTATTTTTAAAAATTTGTCTAGTTGTTTCGGAGCCTATTCGATACAAACAAACAATCAAATCTTACCTCTTTATAATATTAGACTAGTTGTTTTACCACATTTTTGGTTGAGTGAATATTTACACGATTGAGAATATTTTCATGATTAAGTTGCTAATTAAATAAAATGAACCCTCAAATAATGTATTTTCATACAATATTATTTTATGGAGAACCATGGAATTCTAACTTGTTTTTTAAGTAGGAATAATGACCATCTTTTGCCGTATGATTTTTGTGTAGATATCATCATTAGGAGGAAGCATACCGCGAAAAAACTTTGTAACTTCCTTTTGTGCTGTCTTTAAAACTTGAGGTATAACTTGTAGATTTTATGCCCGAAAAAAAATACGCATTTAAAATTGAGCATTCAATCGTTTATGCTCAGTTGCACAAACGTCAATTAAGGTTTAATGCTTTAAGCTTTCACTTGTCAACTCCAAGTTTTATACGATATACGATTAAATTGTCAAATTTAGGTGTGTTATGACCTTAACAATCTATTCTGAATAAAGCGTTTTTTATAATTATACCAAATATAAGAATTATGCCTTTTTTATGATATTTGAATTTCATACTGGTACGCTGGAAGCATATAGAACAAAAGTTAAAAAAATTGCCGATTATACAGTAAGGTGTAAGTCGTTCGACTATTTTACATTATGTTTAAAGTATTTTTGTTTTAGATTTTAGACACCTCATGCGTAGACCGTCCACAATAGAAGTTCACACTGCGAGAGTGTCCCTCAAAGACATAGTTTGTTATCTATCTCTACTGGAAGCTGGAAGACCTGAAGACAAGTTGGAATGTAAGAACTGTAACTTTTTATTAGGGGTTAAAGTATGATATTGCCGTTTTATTGATTACAATTGAAAGAGGATGTGTTTCACAATTTTCTTTGAAAAATTGTGAAACATTTGAATATTGACTTTCTTTGAGAGGTCTGCTAATGAAAGCACCGTGCGATTTTGGTTTAAACGCTTGCGTGATGGAAACTTCGACTTGAAGAACGAGCCACGAGGAAGACCGCCCACATAGGTGAATAGTGCTGAATTAAGAGAGATGGTGGAAGATGCTTTCACACAGTTAGTGCAGTCTAGATTCTCAGAGTTCTATCGCAAAGGCATAAATGACCTTCCTATTAGATGGCAGCAATGTATAGTTAATAATGATAACTATTTTAATTAATTAAATTTGTAAAAAATCTAAATTAAATAATTTTGATTTTCAGTACCAATCGGCAATTTCATACTTTAACCCCCATTATTTAATTTAATAGTTTGACTCATTTTAAGCAGGGTTTACATGTTTATGTAATGTGGCTCTTTAAATATGGATCCAAATTTTCGAATCGCGACAAATGTCACTAAGTTCAAAAAACTAGCACATCTGATGTGATGCATGGATGCGTTGTTTTTTTTTTATCGATTGGTAGGTCAGCTCTGTGTAAACGATGGTTGACTATGCGCCATAATTATTAAATCTTACGTGGATTAATTTATTCATATATTATTTGTTACAGGTTTCATTTGTTGTTAAGTAACTATAGCAAAGATCGGTCACGGGATAGGTAACCAAAAAATTATTATCTCGAGCTATTCCGTGCTTCAGAAGGCGCGTGAAACCGTTGGTCTCGGCGTTAATAGTTTTCAATCCGCATTGGGCCGGGATGGAGAGTCAAGGCCTATCCTCCTTAACTATCCGCATGGAAGGCCTGAGCCCCTGCAATGAGGACGTAAAAGGGCTGTGATGATAATTTCTTGAACTTTAATAATGACGAACGAATGATAAAGAATGATGATTATGGATTTGACAGAACAGACAATTACGAACTGACGCAAAGTCACACAAACGTTTATTGACGTTAATGAACTTTAGCTCTAATGTATGTATTAAATTAGAAATTTTGCAGTAATGTCTCTCTAAACTAATGACTAATTTAATGTACTTTTTTGCGACTGGGTTTTTGTCATTTATCCACAAAAATACATATCAAAGTAGTAAAATGAAACTGTATTTAGAGAAATTAGGTTGTCGTAATACATTGTTCTTTTTATATTATAGTTATGTTTCGTCTGTATGATACTGACGGGAACGGCGTGTTGGACACGAACGAGATGGACTGTATAGTGAACCAAATGATGGCGGTAGCCGAATACTTGGGATGGGAGACTTCAGAACTAAGGCCGGTAAGAGCAAGAATGATTCATATTGATGGGTCATTTATATCATCATCATCGGCCGTAAGACTCTGAGCATAGGCCTCCCCCGTAGATCTCCACGACGATCGGTCCTGCGCTGCCCGTATCCAAAGTCTTCCCGCAACCTTTATAAGATCGTCGATCCACCTGGTGGGAGGCCTACCAGTTGAGCGTCGTCCGGTACGTGGTCGCCATTCGTGAACTCTTCCGCCCCAACGGCCATCAGTACTTATCACTATGTGTCCCGCCCACTGCCTCTTTAGCTGAGCAATATCAGTAACGTTAGTCCTCCCACGGATCTCCTCAGTCCTATTCGATCACGTAGAGAAATACCAAACATTGCTCTCTCCATTGCCCCAGTTGGGTGACCCATAGTAAACGAGCATGTTTCGCTTCCGTAAGTCACCACTGACAACGCACACTGGTTATTTATGTACAAAATAGTATTTTGGTAATATCGACGTTTTGGTAATGCATGCTTTTAGTATAAAAATGGCATGCATTAAGAGAGCACGTTTGCTCAAAATCACTATTTTGACTGATTTTGTACAATAAGTAACGTCATAATAAGTTGTAGTCAACAATGCCATTAACGTATCAAAATTGTGATTCAAGTTCTTGTTTAAAAACGACACGGCATCTTGATATCTATTTAAAAATTGTATCTTTTATTAAATCAAATTTTTAAAATGACTATTTTTTTGTAGATCTTACAAGACATGATGGTGGAAATAGACTACGACGCTGACGGTACCGTATCACTTGATGAATGGAAAAGAGGAGGGTTAGTGATATTACACGTTGTAGTTTTGACGTTGAAGAATAAAGAAGAATCGCAATAATTCGCTTCCTATACATTTACTATGAAACAGAATCGTAGTTGCGTATCGTTAGATGAATTTCTGCTCTAGCAGTTGAACTGGTTTTACGGTTTGTTATGACTCGTTTACACTGGTCGAGGGGATTAGCACGCGGTTTACAGGCGACCTCTGCAGTAAAACAGAATCGTCCGCAAGCCGTACGCGAGTGTCGACCAGTGCAAATACGTCATTAAGGATATTGTAGAATTGCAGATTAACAAAAGAGTCTTACTGCAATCAATTAAGACCATTGGGCTATACCAGCTAGAAAAAGTTTTTACTCAAATCGGATACCTTGAAATTCGAATAACCAATGCTCCATTTATTTTTCAGTATGACAACAATCCCTTTGCTTGTGCTTCTCGGCTTGGACACGAATGTCAAAGAGGACGGCGAGCACGCGTGGAGATTGAAACATTTTAGTAGACCAGCATATTGTAATCTATGTTTGAACATGCTGGTTGGGCTAGGGAAAAAAGGATTGTGTTGTATCTGTGAGTATTGTTTATGATCATTTGTTTATTTTATTGCATTCAAGAATATAGTATTAAAATGTTCACAAAAACAAAAGTATAATCATGGACCCCATCGAGGACAGCAGATTTTTTTATATTTTTTTATTGATGTATATTACTTTAACAGCGTGGAGGGTCATGGCCCATCCTCCTTAACCATCCATAAAGAAGGCCTGAGCCCCTGCAGTGGGGACGTAAAAGGGCTGGTGATGATGATGATATTACTTTCAACTTTAACTACGATGATAAAATACTGTAATTTATTTTCAGTAAGAAATAATCGAAAATTAGGTAAAAAGCAGTCAGTATTACCAATTTAGACCAAAAATTTATTGTCACGAGTTCTTCCGTGCTTCGGATTGGGAAAGCACGTTAAGTTGTTGGTCTTGGCTCAATATGCAGTTTTTCTTTGTACCAATGCTTACTAGGTTCGTATATTAATTCTGTATTTACTGACTTGGTCTCTATATTAATTCTGTATATAGGAAACGCCCAAAAAGTTGGTACATTAATAGGCAGATTATGATGCTAATTTACAATAAATAAAATTTGGTTTCTACTTCCCAAAATGCATTCCTTACGGTTGTAGCACCTTGTGCCAACAGGTACACGTTTTTAATATAGATATGACATTTGCCATAGAATCGTATCAGGTCTTATCCATATTACCGCTTAGGTATATGTTAATGTCCAAAGTGTTGTACAACTAATATTGGAATCTTATAATTTATTCTTGCTTCCATGATAAGTCTGCAAATTCACTGTGCACGAGCGATGCGTTCAGCGCGCGCCTGCTTCGTGTATCGCCACTTACTCCAAGTCTAAACGAGCTTCCGCCACACTCGCACATCACTGGGTTGAAGGTCCGAAAACTACTTTAAATATTTATTGATACATTATAAATATATTTTATGGGAATATGCTCTATTTTCGATGAAAATAATTGGTAAAGTTTAAATAGCCAAAATCACGCCAAAAGCGCTGCTCTATGTAATTGCACTGATTTGTAACGACAGCAAAAATTGAGTTGAAAATCACCTGTAATACGCTGCTGTGCACATCTACTCGAATCATTGTTGATTAGTCAATTTTGTTACAGGAAATTGTCACGGAAAATGTGCAAGATGTCGGAAAAAGATCAAAGGTTACAACGGAATCACGGGACTACATTGTCGATGGTGCCATATCACTGTGAGTAGTGTATAGTAGTGGAACTGTCGCTGTACTCACAATTTTTTAAATATTTGAACTGTGAGAAATCAAACTCAAATAATCAATTTCTTATTAATTGATGAGTGAGTGTAAACGTGCAACGCCTACCGAATATAATATATTTGACACGATTGAAAGTGTGCTACTATTTATGACCGCGCTATTATAAATAACGGTTTAATGAAAAATACATATTTCGCCATGAGCACGATTTGTATTATATCACAACTCTAATGATATTAATGCAAGTGGACCGAGGTCCATATCGAGGGGCAAGTCTTGTAGGGTCTTTCTCCGGGTCCCAGTGTCAGGGCAAC